TGCTCATTTGGAGCACGATTTTCCTACTGAGTCATTTCTGAGGGAGTCTCTTGGGTTCTGAAGAAATGAAACAAATTGGAAGGGTCTGATAAACATACCTGCTCTGCAACAAAGAGCTCACAGCACTCCAAGGTGACTTGTGCCTGGCTGTGTTTTTCAGCTGCAGAAGTTATGCATAAAAACTACCCGTAAAGCACCTAAAGTAGATGACTGAAGTAGGTCAGATAAATTGGTTTTAGCACAGCTTTTTCCCCCTCTCATTTGACTAGAAAAAGGAATACAATTTTCCTCTGATGGAGATCATGTTGTACACATATGAGTCAAAGGGTCTTCTGGAAGACCCACATCCAGCCAAAAAAACCAAACAAAATCCTGTTCCTCTGGGAAGGAGCTGCTGCATTTCATGAAATAGTGTAAGCTGAGGATGCAAGAAAAAAGTTATTTGGGATTTTACAATTAGAACATCAGTCTTTTATTCATGAATTAGCTATCCTAGTGGGAAGCAAGTTATTCCAACAGCTCCCATACACCTAAAATTAAACCTTCTTTAAAAATTAAGTGGATTTAAGGTAATTTGCCTTTAAAACATCAGCTACAGCTTTTCAGGGTTTCAAAAAGTCTAGATGGTAAAAGAAAGTCTTCTTCTACTGGTAGCAAATGAGCTTAGCTCTGTCTGGGTACGACCAAGGCAGGCTATTGATTACCCAGAATGTAAATGGAAAGAAATGTTGAGGAAAATCAACAACCCTTGACTCTCCTGGAGAGGTTCTTACATTATGGTCCGTTTTGTACGTGGCTAATTCCTTTTTCAGAGTCAGGGAATCATGCACAAGATGTTCACTGTCTTTTGGTGCATGGTGACCTGCCCTAACATCCTCAAAAGTGTGTTTTTCCCAGGAGTGGAAACCTGCAGGGCCCAGATTGGGCAATTGTCTGCAGTTTCTTTGGGAACTCTTATAACCCCCAGCTCACTCTGAAGGACATTTGTCATCATTGCATTGACTTGGACCAAATTCTAAACTCAAATTTTAATCCTTGCAGCAGCTTGTTTGATTTCTTGTTCATTCTGCTTTCATTATCATAATTCTCCTTACATTAATATCCATTTGATATGGAAATGCCACAGCTCAGCAATTTGCTAGTTTGTAGAAAAAGAAACCTCAGTGGGGAAAATATTAGCAAGTGTCATAATGAAGGCAGAGAAAATGAGACAAATGTGGGAAAACAGAGAGGGAGAGCAGGCCTGGCTGTTCCACAGGCTGGGAAGGAGAAATTTCTGCTTTGGGACCCTCTCCTGGCTGTGACAAGAGAGTTTTGTGCTGCCCAGCTTATAACCTCCTCCCCTGTAGGAGAGTTGTGCAGAATTCTTGGTCACAGGGCCCGAGGGGATTTGTGCTGGTTTTATATTTGTTTTATATATATTGAAAGATATATATATATACTGAAATATATTTGGTTTTGGTTTGGTTTTGTTTTGTTTTTTAAGGACTGTGACTTGGAATGAGCTCCTGGTGTCCTGCACTTGGTGCTGGCTGAACATTTGGGGAATGTCCATCTTCTGCTGCTCACATGGAATCAGAGGGAGAAACAAGAAGGATTTCTGGAGCATGGACCAGGCTTAGGTAGACAGAGTTCAGTATATTTATTTTCATATTACAGATACAGATAACCACCTCTGCAACTGGAATGTACATTTAATTTTACTTACAAGCTGTGGTTTAAACACTTCAAAACACGGTGGTGTTCAAAAACTCTTCATATAAACTGAACAGAACCATCCACCTGCTGTTCATGGTGGTTTTTTCCAGCTGAACCTGGTGTTAGATCTGAGCATCACTCACTGGCAACAGCCACAATTCTTCTCCCCTTTGAGCCTTCCTTGTAGCACATTTCAGACTCTCCACATTTTGTTCACAGTGCTGGAGCACTGCCCTGCTCTCCACACTTTCTGCTCACACATTTGCACGTTTCCCAGAGGGAAACAGAAGCAGAGAAATAAATCAATGGACAGTTCTGTCTCCAAAGTCACGCTTGATTTCAAACAAATACAGTTTTATCACACCAGGCCACTCTGGGGGAAGGAGAGTTGTTCTCCATTTTTGTGCAACAGGAGTTTTTCTCAGCCAGTTGCCAACATTTTTCAGCAGTTGGCTATGAAAGCTCCTTCATGTATAAATAAAGGAACAGCATCAGCTTTCGTGACATCTCTATCCATCTTCCTGGTTTTTTCATCTTTGGATCCAGCTTTCAAAATGCAGGAGGTAAATATCAGAGCAGAGTGATAAATAACTCAAGCACTAACCTTTTGGGGAGAAAAGCCTCCAGTGGGCATTGACTACACTGAGGGACAAAGTGAATCAACTGTTTTCTAGAGATCCTCCCCCAGGAGTGAGGGGGCACCAAGCAGTGCAGTCACAGGGAACTTGGAGTCTGCAGTTAGTCTGCTTTTTTTCCACTGCATTTATTTTATTTTCAGCAGAATTCAAAGGAGTTTTGACATGTCTCTCCCAATAACACTTTCACAGAAGATTTGGTTTGGTGCAAGACTAAGTGTTTTCAGCTTTGATTTTGATATTTGGCCAAAAAAGCTCAGTTGTTTTTGCTTTTGCATATCACTGCTTTTGGCTGACAACAAATTAAATGTGATAAATTAAATGTGATAAAAACTGATTCTAGGACAAGAAAATAAGCTAATTCAGAACAAAGTGATTTCATGATGATTTGCTTCTCACTACTTCTCTTCTAAAATTTTTCCATCCATGCACATTCCTCCCACCTCTGCTTCCCCTTCTCCACAAAACCCTTTTGTCTTCCCTGGGGACAAAACCATGGCCACTTTGCTTAAGATCACAGGAAATCTTCACTCTCCAGCCTTTCTCTGCAGGTCTGTGTGCTCATCTGCAAGTCAAGGGATGCATTTCTCAACCCTGAGCTCTGCAGCTGAAGGTTGGGACTGTCCCATGAGGCCAGGAGAGAGGGCATCCATCCCTCGAGGGTATCTCTCACTCGTGGATGGCTCTCTCTGCACCAGCACAAGGTGCTGTCTCACCCTAAAAGCATAAAAGGCATTGGAAGAGCCACAAAAGCTGGCAGAGGAATGTCTCCAGCCCATGCTGGGTGTGTGACTGTGTCTCCTCACCCCTTTGGCTGGTATCTGGGGCAGATTTCACACAGCTGGGACAGGGAGGAAAACCCCCAGGGCTCTGTGAAGGATCTGCCCAGGGGAGGCACAGGGTGAGGGAGGAAATCCAGCACAGGCAGAGCCCAGGTGGGATCACAGAGCTTGGAGCAATGCACAGGCAGGAGAACAGGGACCTGGGCAGCAAGGCACCACTGCCATGGCCTGCCCAGAGGGAAAACACACTGCAATCTCTGGCAGAGGGAAAAATAATGCAAAACTTCTGCCTAGAAATGTCACTGGTAAAATGCAAGTGTCCACTTGGGGGTGGCAAAGCATTTCAGCTGTGTCTTGAGGGAGCAGGAATGGCCTTTTCTCTGCAGGGCTTGTGTGTGGCTCTTCCCCTCTCCAAGGCTTGCTTCTCAAGACTGCAGGTCGTAAAAAGAGTGAAAATATTCCTCTTATGCTCCAGGAAAAGGGGATTCTTCTCCAGCTGCCATGAATCTCCCACCTTGGAGTCCCACAGTGAGAATCAAACAGGAAACTTTGGGGCAAACAAAGAAAGAGACTGTGGGAATCAGGAGCACAGTCCCTTCCTCCTTGGTAGGAAATGTCATCTGCATCCCCTGTGACCAGAATGGAAAATGTCTTTACGCACACAGTGTATCATCTTTCAGGAGCTAATGCTGTTATTTGCTGTGATAACTCTGTGTTCTCTGGCTGTGCAAGTGACTGCCAGTCCCTGGTGACACTCCTGGGATGATTCTCTGTGGCAGTGCCAAGCCTGGGGACCAACCCCAGCCCTGTGTCAGGAGGCACACGGGAGGCATTTCCCTGAAACACAATGAACAGGCTTTGAAATGTGTGAGACAGAGGCTTACAAAATTCTCTATCACATAATGAACCCTCCCTTGGCAAAATTCTATTGGCTCCTGTGCCTGCAGTCAGGAATTTGTCACTTGGATATGGGTGTACTGCCTTCAGGATCTGTCTGCACCACGGGGATGCAGGAAAGTTTTTCAGACCTTGCATTGTGCTTTGTGGCAAAAGCTGAATTTAGTAGATGCAAAACTCCCCTTTTTATTGCCCTTATGTGTAAGGTTTGTCCCATTCCCTCTGTAGTGAGGGCTGTCCAGGCTCCTTCCTGGTGATTGCTAACCCATCTCTGATTTCTGCAACCCACCTGGTGCAGGAGCACTGGAGGCTGCTGAAGCATAACCACAGGGCTTCACTGGTGGAGACAGCACATAATGATCTGAAGTTGAAGTAATGATAAGAAGCTCAGGAAGCAAAAGTTTGCTTTACATTTATTTTACAGTTGTTGCCTCCCTGGTTCTTCTGGCCCAGAAATAGCTGTTGCTGGTAGCTGGTGTTGATCAGCTGCTGTCATTCTTGCCTGTTTGCTAATGTTGACAGCAGAGGTTTGCAACAGCCATACCTCAAAATGTTGTACCAGAGGGAAGTGGGACTGGATTACCCAAAGCTAGAAGTAGGGAGAGAAGGTTTATGCAGAAAATTGTCTTGTTTCAAAATAAGTAAAACCTGATGTTTTGGTTGCTACACAAGAAGCTATTTGGTAAGATTGGCTAAGCTGATTCTCTCTCCTGTGCTGGCAATGTTGGGAGTGTCTCTCACCTTTCCAAGCAGCTCTTTGCTGGCACAGCTTGCAGTGAGCAAACTCTGATTTCCAGCCCTCCCATTAGCCTGGGGGCAGTACAGTGCTTCCCTAACACATCCTAAATACAGCCTCCTCCTTTGTTCATTCAGTGGGACTCCTCCTGAGCAATTCGTGCTGAAATCACTCTTTTAGGAAGTTTTCTTCTGCTTTAGTTTCTTAGTTTTCTGAACCTTTTCTCTCTCACCTGGATCACAGCGCAGGAAGTCAGAGGCCAGTGGAGAGCTGAGAGCTGCTGACAGATGTCCTGTGAGTGCCTGGGAGGCTCGTGTTTTCTGCAGAGTTCATGAGATTGTGATCCTCCATCACAAACGTGCTCTTCTGGGATGAAATCTTGCAGGGGGGATGTTTAGGGGCACAGTGCTTGCAGCAAGGGGCAATCACACTGAGGAAAGCCATCCTGAAGCGCTGGGACAGCAGGTTGTAAATGATGGGGTTGGTGGCAGAGCTCAGGTAGAAGAAAACACCTGGGAGAACAAGGGTGGGGGGAAGACAGAAACATTTATTTGTGTGTGAAATCATCTCAGAAGAGGAAAATCTCTTTATTGCCTGTACAGCTCCACTAAGCTTGGATGCCAGGGTGGAGACAGCAGCAGTGGAGCTCTGCTGCCTTCCTGGCAGAGGGATATTTCACCAGGGTTAGCTCAGCTTCCACTGCAGTGAAAGGAAAGCAGGAGGGATCGTGAACTGGAGCTCAGTCTCTCCAGCTGTTCAGGAACCAGCTCTCTCTTGAGCTGCCCTGACCTGCCTCCAGCACTGCCCTCATCCCAGCAGCAGCAGGATTTGCACAGCTGGTGCCCCATCAAAGCTGTCAGAGGATAACTTCCAGCCAGGGGAAGCTAATTTCCTACAACTCACCAGGACAATGGCATAAGATTGGATTTGTCTGAGCTGCCTAATGGCCACATTCAGAGTTTTCCCATGGCAGACTGAAAATAAAATTCCTCTTTGAAAATCCCTTCATTTTATGGTTGGCAGGGCCATAAACATTTGGTTTCATCACCCAGTACTGAGCAGTATGTAAGGCTCTTGCATTTGGTAAGGTTTCCTATTTGCCCCAGAGAGCCTGTGGAGATGCTGCCTCCTCCTGTGTACTTCTTAAGAGCAGCTGAATGATAGCAGCCTTTACTTCTGAACATTCCCAAGAATTAAGAGCAGCTAGTAATGATGCATGATATCCTTTTTTTTTCCTTTTATTTTTTGTGAATTTGACAACATGTCCAGATCTTAAAAGCTGCAGAAACCTCCCTGCAGTATTTTTTCAGGCACAGTTCTCATCACTGCCCACCAAACCACAAGAAGGTTTTCCACACAAGTCTCACATCCCCTACAAAATAAATGACTACACATTCCAAGTAAAAGCACTCAAAAATACCTTTTTTTTTCTCCCAGTCCCTGTGCAAGTGGAAGAAGAAAGCTTTACCTGACACCACGTGGATTAAGTTGAAGGTGTTGGCCAAGGGCTCAGTCCATTCCACCACAAAGCTGAAGAAAAGTCGGTCTATGTGAAATGGAGCCCAGCAGATGGCAAAAACTATCACCAGGACAACTGGTGTGGAGAAAGGGGAGAAGGAAAACAGGTCAGAAATGGGGGGATATGGTTCACCAGCCTGCACAGGGCAGGGAGTTCATAAAGCTGGATGGGAGACTTTGTATATAAATTATATTCATGGTTTCAAAACTTTTGCCATCCTTTCTGTCTTACCAACTAAAAGAACAATCTTTCCATTAATTTCTGTATTGGGTGATCCAATGCATGCACACAGGGTGGCATTCAAACAGAGCAGGTAACAGCCAGGCAATGTTGGGGTTTATATGGAGGCCAAACCCATTCCAGGCTCAGAAAACCAGGCTGGCTCCAAAGTACAGTTTGGTGTGATGGAAAACAGATGTACATTCTGTAAAAATGTACAGGACAGACTATTTGCACTCTGAAAAAAGGGGATCTTCCCTTTTTTCTCCCTTGCAAGAGCTAGTTTAGAGTGAAGGATGTTGGAGAATTGCCATGCAAGCAGCTGCCAGGAAGGTTTCCTCCCCTCCACTTGTGCTAGGGAGGAAAATTTGCTTTGTGAGTCTTTTGGTAGTTACCCCTGGTGCTTCACTCCTGCAAGGCCAGATACAACAGAAAAAGCCTTTTTGTTTAATATGACAGCTACTCATCTCATAACTCCTGGATCCAATGGACTTGCTCAATACCCTGCAAGACCTGGCCACACTCCTGCTCATTGAAAATAAAACACAGAGGGACTCACAACTTACACAGCATCTTGGTGACTGATCTCCTGGATGGCCTCTGAACATTCACAGCCATTTCCTCCACTTCCAAAGATTCATCTCCTCTCAACTGGCAAAGGAGGGAAACCAAAGGACAGCTTAAACAAGAGACCACATCCACACCAGACATAGACTGTTTGATATTTTGATAGTTGTGCTTTGAGAAAGCAAAATTTGGGGCCACTCAGGACTCATTGAAAAAAAAAAATCTGCATTTAAATTTTGGTTTTTTTCTAGAAAAACATGGAAGCTTTAGGTTCAAAACAATCTACAGATTACAGAAAATTTGTACTTCAATTCTCCACTTACCTTTTCTCAATGAGTCAATATTTGGTTCACAATTTATGTTCCATTTCAACAGTATTTTGCTAGGCATTATTTTCTCTTCTAGCAAAATATTGTTCGTTTGTTTATTTTCCTAAAAGTGTTCCCCACAATTAAGCACAAACCAATGATCCAAAAAATACCCAGAGAGGCCTGAGTGCAACACAGCTGTAATCATTGGAAAAAATCCTGTGGAATTCAAGGGAATTTGTTTCATGTCCTGAGTGTTGGGAGTAGTTGATATTCAACCCATCTAACGAACAAACCCCAGAAATTCTGCCTTGCAGATGGGCAGGGTGCATGATGCACACAGATTTAGCCACACACTGCTCAGGCACACAAGGAAAGGTTTTTCTCCAGTAGTTTTTCCTGGACTTAAAAAAAAAAAGGGCAATATATATATATATATATAAAATAATATGAATAATATAATAAATATAAATATATACATAGAATATAATAGATAATTTATATTATGATATAATTATAATATATTTATATTATATGAATACCTAAATATTAGTAATATGAAATATATAAATAATATCTAAAGAACAATAATCTGATCATCCCTGGAATCCACTCCCAATATGTTTGTGATGAGAAGACTGATGCTGTGATGAAAAGGTCAGGTTTACATAAACAGGCAATTGGTTTGAATACCAAAGAAATCATATCTGGCAAGTCCATATTTAGTCCCAGCTTCCTGCAGTGGGAACTCCTGATTAGCCAACAGCTTTGTCTGTTTTCAAGTAGAGAAACTTGAACCAAAACTTAATTATACATCAGACAATATCAGGAATGAGGGAAAATATAGTAATCACTCTGGATTTGTGAAAGCCTTGTGAAGACATGCTAGTTGTGCTTTTTGCTTTTGCCTTTTATACTGTGGCTTTGCTTTCTGATTAATAATACTTTTCTGTAATGATGATGAAATGAACCCTTCTTTCAGTGTTCTCTTTATTCTATTTAAAAAAGGAAAAAACCTATACATGGAATTATAGTCAAGTATAGTGCAACTCAGCCTCTCATATTTTACATTATTCCCCTTGTAACTTTTAGTCATAGCCACAGTTGCTTAAGGAAAAGACTCAGCTGATTTGTAACACATCCACTGATGAATGATCAGATTTATTAAAACCCATGGATTCCCTTCAGTGGTTTCAGTCTCAACAGTAATCTATTCCAGGCATATTCCAAAGCCTCAGAGAGTACAGTGTGCTGATGCTGTAATAAACTAGACACATGTATCTTTATTTTTCCCCTTCCTCCTGTCATTTTGATGGTGCTGTAAGGCTCCACTTCAGCCTCGAGTGATGAAGGTGTAACAGGTAAGAACTCAGCAGCTGCAGTTTAATGAAACAATGAAACATTACAAACAGGGAGGGAAAAAAAAAATAAATGAGTCCAAGGCAAAGGTTGTAACTTGAGTTAATGCCAGTGGTTTGAGAGGGGTAGAACCCCAGCCAAGGTATTTTACATCACTGTGATGTATGGGTCTGTGTAGGTTTGAGATGAATGCTATTCTTCCACTGCAAGAGAATTAAAAGTGACTGGAGAAAGAAGCTGAAAATTGGATTTCTCTCCCCCCAGATCTTTATTAGCTACAGCATTTCACCCCAGAAATCAAAAGGCTGAGTGAAATCAGGATCTCACCTATCCTCAGACAAATATAGTAAGGCCACTCTGCAAAATGACTGTTTTCTGTAATCTGCAAAAGAGGAACTGTTTTCTGTAAACTCCTTGGCCTGTCTGACACTAGTGGTAAGCAAAGTTTCTCTCCAGCTGATGGAAAAAAATTACATTTAAACCCCACAAGGCTTCTGCTAAAGATTACAGTCCTGCCTGTTCCAGAGGTTTGGCTGAAGCAGTTGCTGCTGAGCTGCAGCCTTGGCGTGCCCTCAGCTCAGCCCCATGGCAAAGGAGAACCAGCCACTGGGACAAGGACTGCTGAACAACCTCCATGGAAGAGCTGTGCTGGGCTCTGCAGAAATTAGCCAAAGTCCACAGATGATTCTGGGAGTTTAACACCTGGGCATTTAGGGGGAGAAATAGATTTTGAGGATAAAAGCTGGACCAGATGTGCATTGGCAAGAATAAGTTGTCTTGCTTCAAAGACAGCAAAAGTTTCCACTATATCCAAATTATTATTATCAGTAGTAGTAGTAGTAGTAGTAGTAGTAGTAGTAGTAGTAGTAGTAGTAGTAGTAGTAGTAGTAAGGGGATGAGAGACTAAGAGAAAAGTTGGAATCTTGCGAGAAGAATCATCCAGCCTATGCTGACAGAAACCCTTGTTCAACAGAGTAAGACTTTTAGACAAGCAGTGATCAGCACCTACACCTGTGTCCTTTTAGGAATCAGTTTGAAAGAAATGGGCAGGGACCTTGCACTGAATCCTGCTGCAATGCACTCCCATCCCATCTCACTCAGTGCCCCAGGGATGAACTTCCATGAGCAGCTACTGCCCAATGTTCTCATCTCATCCCTCTCCTCTCCCTCCTCAGCTCTCTGGCTGTGGCTTGCAACCAGTATCTCAACAGCTGAAATGGGTTTGAAGAGTCTGGAGGATTTAGGGATTTATCCATAAGGTATCTGTGATGGGAACCCCATGACAGAGGCAGCAGGAAGCTTCCCCAATCAAGACTAATGAGTTTACAGTGCAATGAGCAGTGTCCTCTTTACACTGGTGCTTGACTATCAATTGACCATAACACAGCAATATCAAACCACCAAGCCTTAAAATTATACCCAGATATAGATAATGAGGTAATCAACCATTTCCCAGTGAAAAATATTTCTACATTTTTGAAGGGATTAAATGATTAATTAACTCAGGTAGCCTATGACCCTTGTTTGCTGCCTTCTCACAGCTGCTTGGCAGGTGCCCTGTCCCCGTCTGCATTCCTGAGGCTGTCCAGCACTGGCAGAGCTTGAGGGAGAAAATGGTGAAAAAATGCCCTTTCTACAAAGCCTGGACATGAAAAGGTCATGCCTCTGTTTGCTGAATTTGAGCTGTTGTACAACCTTTGGATCAACCCTGAGCTTTTCCACTACATTCTGTGAGTGATACATGGCACTCAGGAGACTGCAGGGTGCTGCTAAAGCCTCATGAATTTCCTCGTCTGTGAGTAGATAAAAAGTATCTCGTCTTGGAAAATTAGATATATTCATCATTCTTCTATCACTTCTGTTGAAGAAATGAAATCATCTTGCCCAGTGCAGCTTGGAGGTAATGCAGATCTAGCCAGGATGGATCCTGTTAAAATTTGGAAGTCTGAGCTGGACATACAGAAAAACAGAGGCACAAACAGTGAACATGACTGTCTTTAGGAAAGACAGCTTGAACAAATGTGTGAATTTGCAGAAGTCCTGGGAGATGAGCCCTCATCTGGTACTGAGCTTCTCTTCTGGGATGGAGTATAGGAATATCTGCTGCTGCAAATAGAAGTTATTGCAACCTTCAAGTCTTCCTTCTATAAATTCGGGGATTTCTCTTTTTCTTTTTGTAACAACTCTATTTTCATCACCTTTTATTCCCTTCAGGTCTAATTTTGCAAAATATTAATTGATGCTATGTAAAAGACCCTTCAAGAGCCTCGAGAGATTTGGGATAGTTTAACCCATTCACTGCCTTGAGGATCTGCTCTGTGCTGTGGATTTCTGGCAGATAATCCATGTTTTTTCACTGGGTAAGTAAAAATTGTTTCTGTATAATTTCAGGTAACAGTAAATATCAGTCAGCACAACAAAATTATATAAACACCAGCAGTGATTTGGTTGAGTTTCTTGCATTTTATTTAATAGGTTAATTTGTTTCCCTTTCTTGCTCTGGGATCAGATCTTTGTAAACTTTAGGTTACATTCAGTGTGATAAAATGGGATTTGTATTGTCTAAATGTCTGTAACTTATGAGAAGAAAGTGGTCATCAAGTCACTGTGATTAGCAGGGCATCTCGGTCTTGTGCTAGGTAGTTTTATAACACTGTGATCCTGATTGTTTTGTCCACACATTTACATGATGGATACTTGTCAAAAGTAGTCCCAATTTCTGAACAGAGAAGGAATATAAGCTCTAAGGTGGCCTGGTGAAACAAGGCTGTAGTTATATGAAGAAATGATTGCTGAATTTTCTAGCTGCAGCAATAAGGTAACATTTCAGTTTATAAGCTTTGTGAATTTTAACAAGTGAATATTGCCACCAGCTCCAGGGAAAGAAAAGAAGAAAGTAATGCAATGGAAATTCTATAGTCACAAGGAAAGGGAAAATAAATAGTACACAAGATTCAGTCACTAGCCATCTTCTTTTTATTCTTTTCATATTTTCCTTTTGGTCCATTTCTTTCTAGTCCCTGCTGCAAAGGTGTAAATCTCTGAGAGGCTGGAATCAATCTACAGACTTGGGTGTTTCATTAACATTCAGATGTGAGCAGCAGTGATGGTAAGTTTTTATAAGAAGATTGGGGTAAATTAGGTGTCTTAATAGCTAATAGCTATCTTAATTTCAGAGCAGGCTTGCACCAGAGAAGAAGTTGGATCTACTATTTCCAGAGGTTTGAGAAACACTTTTGCTGTTTTGGGGGGAAAACACGGGCAACAAAAAAAGGTGCAAAACTCACTCAAAAGCCACACATAGCCACAAACACACAAGAATGAGCCAAGGCAACACTGAGCACAGTCGGAGCAGGACTTACTCTTAGCCCCATCAGATAGTACAGCACACTTATCACCCCCATGGGCAGCACATAGAAGAGCAAAGAAGTGACCTGCACGATACAATTGTAGATCCACAGGGGCACCACCACGGTGCAGGTGGCAGAGCCGGGCACCAGGGTGCCGTTGGGGAAGTGCTGCAGGACGATGCCGTGGGTGCCCGTGTTGGGAAGGGCGCAGAGCACGGAGAGCAGCCAGAGGGCCAGGATGGTGGCGCGGGCGCGGCGGCGCGTGCCGGCCAGCTTGGCACGCAGCGGGTGCAGCACGGCCACGTAGCGCTCCACGCTCAGCGCCGTCACGCTCAGGATGGAGGCCAAGCACACGGTCTCCAGCAGAGCCGTCTTCAGGTAGCAGCCCATGGGCCCCAGCAGGAAGGGGTAGTTGCTCCACATCTCGTACACTTCCAAGGGCATCCCGAAAAGCAGCACCAGCAGGTCCGAGACCGCCAGGCTGAACAGGTAATAGTTGGTCGGGGTCTTCATGTTGCGGTGCTTGAGGATGACGAGGCACACCAAGAAGTTGCCCACCACCCCCACGACGAAGATCACCGAGTACACCAAAGCCATGGGCAGGAACAGGTGGCTCCGTCTGGGCCCGCACAGGAAGGTTAAATAATCCTCAGTGCTGTTTAAGTACCCCCTGAGGCGTTCTTCATGTAGAGCAAGGTGGTTTAACCAGGAGAAATTACTGACCCAGGCCATCGCTGGATCTGCTGAAATGTCTCACAGATGAGGTTTCCTGTCCTTTGTGTTTCTCTGAGCAAGTTTGCTCACTTTTTGCAGAGAGAGGAGAAGGGGGGCAGCTGCCTTGCCACCCCTGGCAGCACAGAGCCACCGAGGATGTGAATGAGAGTGTTTGCCTGGCTCTGGGTAAGGTTTTGCTGCTCAACAGCTGTTCCCCTGCCAGAGCCCCTCAGCCAGAAAGCCCCTCCTTTGCCACATATTCATTGGCTCGCTAAGTGCGTTAGATTATAGTGTACAGAAAGAGGTTCCAGCCACTTGCATCAGCTCCCGGGGCTGATGCACGCACAGAGTCACAAAAGTGGGAATTAGGGAGCTGCGAGTCTGAAACGAGGGATACAAAACCAGATGCAGGTTATTTGTTTATGTCAGAGGGTGGGAAAGCAGACCAGAAACACCCCCAAAACTCAGTCCAAAAAGCTTTTACAAAATTATAATGGTGCTGCATCCTAGTTATGAGCCACAAGCAAAATACAACAAAACAAAAGATTCTGGCATGATTTTGTTGTTCAAATCTCTGCTGATTTTTATTTTCTGTTGTCTATGGCAGCAAGTACTTGGAGACAGAGTTTGATCAGGAGAAAGCCAAATGGTTTCTGTAGCCATTTCTATGGAATTATAAGGCTTCAGCCTTTTTTTAAATACTACAGTTGTTTTTCTCCTGAGATCTGACTAAAGATTTTAATTGCAATTCTTATTGACATAAAAATATTTTCCCACTTCCCAAGTATGCTGGAATTTGATCCTATATTCTTAGAGAGTCTTGTTTTGGGAATATTTCTGTACAGCATATTATTCCATATTTATTGCCTATGGGGCATAAATGTCTATAAAATCTTATTTCTTCATGAATGACAAGCATTCTGCAAACACACTTTCTGAGCCAAAAAATGTGTCTCCTGCAAGCACCGTGGCTGTGCCAAAATATATCATTTAGCTCTGTATGAATGCTTAATTCTTTCCTGAATTTCTCTAAAACAAAAAAGGTCCCAAGTCTGTAGATACAATTTTCTAAAATTCAGAAAGCATTCAGCTGTTTGGAATTGAAGAGGTGCAAGGTCTGAGGGCTAATTTATGGGATTTTTGTCAGCTTGGTGTGTGATTGTCTGCCCAGAGCCTCTCATTAGCTCTCACTTCTGAGTACCTGCCCAGTCCCCTCCTTGAAGCCATGTAAACCTTTTACATCCCTGACATCCTTTGGCAAGGAGCTCCTTGAATCTGCTATTTGTATGTGTGTCTTTTTTCTCTGTTTGACCCTTTAGCTTGACCTCTCAAGGAAAAAAATGATTGTTCCAATAAGCACAGACTGCCTCCAAAATAGCAGCAGTGGGTGAGGGACCAAGGGTTGGTGCCTTTGAGGCACATTCAAAATGTGGAGCCTGGGAATCACTGAGCAATCATTTAAAATGTGAAAGACATGGAAGGTACCACAACAACCATACTAAAAGGCAGAAGCAAGTCTCTTGTGATGACTTTCAGACCTGCTGAAATTATCTCACACATAAAGTGCATCAGAAGGACCCAACTCATTTATTTCAGCATTGCACTGAGGTATTTCATTCAGCAGATCGAAAAGTTTTACTGGATTATTGAATAACAAATGTGCCCTTTTGACCCATTGCTCCTTTCATTAAGGATTCATTTTATGGCTATTCCGTGCATTTTAACAATGTTAAATTTGATCTTGATCTGCTGCTGATGTAAGAGGTAGGAGCAGAGGAATCATTAGTTGGGTTCCTGGCTGACACCAGGATTAACTCTTTCAGAGCACAGCAGAAGACAAGTACTTGAAAATTTGTGCAGGACTAAACATTTTCTGTACCTCTGCTTAACTTTCAATTTTTGTTTGCTTGTTTCATTTGTGCCTTTTGTTTTGTTTTGTTTTTCCCACATAATTTCTTAATACTTAGTTTCTTTCTATTTCTGCTTTTTCTTCCCCTGGTAAATTCCATTATTCCACTCCACACTGCAGCATACCTGAGGTGAGTAAATCCTTCTGAAGTAGCTACCAGATTGGCTTCATTTTTCTTCTTGCACATTAACCTCTGTAAAGAAACTGAAGTGGAAGATTGAGGCTGTTCAGATTGAACCCAGTCTTAAGGGAAAGAAAACCAGAGAGGTTTGAGTTATTTAGTAAAAAGCCAAAAGGGCAGCAGCACCCACTGTGATCTCTGTGAGAGGAAAGCAATGGGCTGTGCAAACTCATCAGGTCACCTCAAAGTGTGGATGTGCCAGACCCACCTGTGCCTGCTTCCACTTGTTTTCAATCCTTTCTGATCCTGCTGAGCTCGGATGCTGAAAGCCTGTAAGAATAGAAGCAGAAGAAAACCAGATAACCAATGGACCAATGTTGCTATGACCACGACTGTGTTGCAGATGGAGAGGACAAAGAGAGTGGAAAAATATATTTCAGTTTATTTCTCAAAGCTTTATTTGTGTTCTATATCATATCTGTCTCAATAAAGATAGAAGAATGTATCCAACCAAAGACTTGCTCTGGCTCTATATGAATGAAAATATTTTATTTTTACAACCGAGACAGAAAATAAAAACAGATTTTTTCTTATGAAAGTGATATTAAAGCATTTGGTATTTTTCTTTATAAGGCAAACCTCATTGGTGCTTGCTTTTATACACTGGAAGGGAGAGGGTGGGCTGCATGCTGGCCTTGGAATTGTGCAGCTTTATACAATAGCAATGTAATCAATGTAATGCAATATTTCCATTAATGTAGTGTAATATTGGCAACATTAACCCAGACAAGATTTTTGGCAGTGTGCAGGAGTCTCAGGAGGCACTGACAATGTCCTCATGCTGGTGATGTCTCTTGTGCCGCGTTTACGTTGTGGAATGTTTCCCTTTGCCAGTGGAATGTGCTATGAACAGCAAAGTGCACGCTTAAGGAGGGCTGAATTCAAGCACTTCATGTTTGTCAAAGCCCTTGTAAGGGCACCATTAACTACTTCATATGAGTACCTGGTGAGTAATTGGGAAATGGGAAAGTTTGGCACGTTAATCAAAAGAGGCAGAGGACAGTGGAAGTTACCCAGGGTATGAAAAATGGACAAATGCTCCACTGGCCCCACTGACAGAGGGGTGAGGGGGGTACTTTGAGCTGTGAGCCATTATGATGGACCCTTCTGAACATTGCTTTATCTCAGAATGGAGACTTGCATTCATGCAAAACAAGCTGGTTTGGGGTATTTTTATCTATGTGGTGAGACAAGGCACAGCATCATAACCTCTGGTTGTGGATCTGGAAGTAACAGACCTGTGAGAACACCCTGGTGTGCCACACAGATCAATTCAGTGCAGTGCTGCACTGACATGTCCACTTGGCACCCAGAACTGGAGCTGGCATCTCTCAGCAGAGCTGCAGGGGATTTTGCTCAGAGTTTTCAGGAGAATGCTGCACTTCTTACTGTGCACACACCCTCAGGAAGCCATCCTGCTTCACTGGGAGGGCTTGGGGAGGTGCTGGCTTTGCCAGAATTCTTGGTGAGAAGGTCCAATATTTTTTATCTTCAGCAGGTGAAGCTTGGTTTTTTTCCTCATTTGTAATTTCTTTTTGCAGATTCTGTTTCAGTGGTTTCTCCCCTGCAGTTGGAGGATGCTGAAGGCAGGGAAAAAGCCTTTAGAGGATCTCTGTGAGGGAGCTGCTCTCCAGCCTGTCTGAGCCTCAGTTCCCTGCTCCTTTTATGGAGCTTTTCCTGAGCTGCCCTTGGGCCACACAAAGTTCTGAATTGCAGATTCAAACTCCCTGTTTTAATCCTTGGAGGACTTGGCAGAACTTGGTTTCTGTCCCAGAGGAATGCAAAGAAGAGGATGCAAATAAGAGGGTGCACAGCTGGAAAGCAGAAATATTAGGCTATACTACACTGAAGATATTAACACAATTACTTAAAAAAATATAGCCCCATTTCCCTTATAAATTCCTGAGCTATAATTATAGCTCATGGATTTGACTTTTTTTTCTCTGAAAGGCCTCTTTGAAATGTTCCTTCCAGTAGCTGGAATGTGAATCCTTGTTTTCCCAAGTACCTTCAGTATAAAATTCAACATGCCACCAACCACATTGGTACATTCTGTGTATTTTCTCTTCCTCAAGGGTGGAGGATGGACCTGCACCATAACAAAAGCTGCATCTGCAGTAGCCTTTCCATGCCTCATTGTAAGTCATTTTGCAATTACTTTGGCTCTTCACAGAGAGCTTTTCCATGGCTGTGCATGACATCTGAAGTCCCCAGGATATCAATCAACACACATAAGAAGTGGATTTCATGACTACAATATGAAATACCAATAAGGGCACCTCTTTGCCTGGAGCAGCTGGCATCCTACACAGGCAGTGCAGACAGAGGCCACTTCAAGGGTGGAACACATTTTGACTAACTTTAGTCATTAAAACCAGCAAATGAGTCTTCACAGATTTTTCAGGCTCCTACTTTAGTCAATAATGGACAGAGGAACCTCCAGCAGGGCTTTCTCCTAAGGCACAGCACAAGGAGGGACACGTGACATGGAATAGCTTAATTTTTCTCATTGTCTGCAGAGGGGAAGTGGGTAATAATTTTAACAGCAGGCTTATTAAACAGAGATGAATTTAGACCTCAGTTTTGTACAATCTTTTCCATCCCCTTCCCATCAGGCTTTAGAGGGAGATTTCATTTTTGAGAAGATGTTTAGGACAGTTGAAAACAGGGCCAGAGAGGCAGCCAGCAGGTCCAGGGCGAGGAGAGACCAGTGCTAAAATCACTCCCTACTCCTCTCTTATTACCCAGTGGGGTGGTCCCTATTGACACATTTTCAACAATGGATTGCTCTGTTAGTGTTGACTCCAGAAATTACTGGGAGTGATGTGTTTTGTTTTTAGAAAGCCTTTTGTGTCTGTGTGTGTGCTCATGCCTTGAAGAGGCAGTGGGTGACAGCCAGGGATGTGGTTCAGACTTGATATTCAGGAG